TTGTATATGTGTTGTGTACATGTTTATTTATAAACGTGTGTGTTCCTTTTCTTTCGTACGTGTTTATTGATATATCTGTACTGTAGTGTTTTCGGACGGTACTAGCTCTTACTGCCAATATAGGAGTATTACTTATATGTCTTCAACAAAAAAAAATGCCAAAAATCCCAGCTACAAAACTGCATACTCAAACGTTTTCTAAGAAATTTAAAAAGCTCGAAATTTTTGCGAAAGTTTGTTGATTTTTTTAATATAACATGGATTTATTATTATTATTTTTCGGCCTATTTTTATAAAAAAAATAACTAAAATTAAATAACAAAAAAATGTTAAAACTTGTCAATATTTGGCTCGCTTATATTTATGACACGGGGTGTATATGTACTAATATTTTACAACAATTCTTGATAATACTTAGCGATAAAAATAGCGATAAAAATCGCGAGATGTATGTATGTAAGTATGCACTTGTGTACATATGTATGTATGTATGGAATATTTTTCGTCATATGAGCATTTTTATTTACATTAGGAATTATTATTTCGCACTTATGTACATATTTTATGTTTGTAGTTAGTGTTGCTATACGAAAGGGGCTGGTCATATCGAATGTATTCAGAAAAAGTTTCTTCCCTCGCACAGGGACCGTTAAATTTATTGTTTTTGGTTTTCGCTGTTTGCTTTGTTGTTCCGGAAAGGTAGTATTTATTCATTTTCCGTTGAAACTCCTGCTGGAGCATTAGAGAACTTTGTACCCACATTGTTCGCAGTTTTCTATAAAAGTCGTTTATGAGCTAGATCGGTTATTGGTGGATCGGTCTGGCAGTTTTGATATTTAATTGCTTTGCTAATGCTGACACTGAATTATAACCTGTTATGAAAGCTGTCAAAGATAGCCACTTTCTGGAAGGCAAAAAAAAAATTATATTTCTTATTTGAATTTAAATGAAAACTGACAGAAGGGGAAAAAATAATTTTCTAATAATAATTGCTGGCAAAACCGGCCGTTTGTGCGAATAAATTTTCAAAAATTAAAAAATGATTTTGTTTTCAAAGTTTATTTTTATTTTTTTAATTTTTTAATTTTTTTAAATTAAAGAAATTTTTTTTTTAGTTCTTCCATAAATACACTTATTAAAAAAGTAAGAATTCAACTCGTTTTCATTAACAAATTTAATTTCATTAATTTTATTTGTTAGGATAAACTACTAAAAATTGTTTTAAATAATCAAAAGTAAATGGTCGCCTTTTTCGGGGAATATGCTGCCGTATGAAGAAGAACGTCGCTCCTGTCGATTATTATAACCGACCACGAATTTTAAGTACATATGTATAATTTTTTGATTTTGAAAGGACAGCCTTCGAATGTTGCAATGACATTTTTCAGCTTTCTCGGGCTTGGCTAAACACAAAATACACTCAGCACGGTTGCTTGCTTGGCTACCAAAGGACCCAGCGATATTTATGAGTCCACATTTCTATCTAACAGAAAGTCATTAAATAAAGCTAAATTATTTATTTTCAAAAAAACCTGAGGGTCGAATGTAGCGCCATGCAACACCAATGCATCGAAATATATATGTATGAACATACATACATATTCTATATTGTTTACACTTGTATTATTTATTATTGTTGCGCTTGTTGCCTTAGCAATCGTTGTGGTTGTCATTGTCGTTGTCGTTT